TCGAGACCCGAGAGCCGCCCGCAAAGGGCCGCGTACTCATGCCGTCAGTTTCTAGACTTACCGCTGGGATGCCGGCGAGGGCGATGATGCACGCGGGCGTGAAGCAATGAGGCGTGATCGCAGATGCGCTGCTCTCCCAGGTTGGCTTTCAGGCGACTAAACCCCACGCGCGGGCGAGTCGGGGGAACCCAGCATCTGTGCTCGTGTCGCGGGCTTCGGTATTTGAGAATGTGCGCACGGAGCATTGGGTGATGGGGTATTAGGGTGGGCGGAGCGCGACTGGGTACGATTCTGTCAGGAGGTGTGTGCTCACTACCAGATACAGCATTTCGTTCTGACGTATTATGTACTGCGTGAACCCACGCCGTGCTGTCATAAAGTGGAGTAGGAGGGTGATCAGGAGGCGGAGGGACAAAACAATGTGAAGAATATCGAGCTGACAAAAATGTGTGAGCAGGCCTCGGAGTGGAAATTTGACGAACAGTCGGTGTCTGTTGAAGCTACTGGGGGCTCTCAAGTGATTGTCATTGGATTTTAGTGCTCTGGCAGATCTCGAGCCCCATAATGGTATGCGTGACATTGCGTGAGCTGTTGGACTCAGGCTGCGCCCAGTGCGGTGCACGACAGATTCAAATCCGTGCATCGTGAGGGCGATGCTATGTCTGGCGAACCTGGGAGGCGAGGCGAGGGAACGCAGGGTAACGTATTAATCATGACATCATTGATTGAATCCGTGATAGACACCTGCGCATCAATGCCTTCCGTGGTGCGCTCGACAGACGAAGGTCTGAGGTGGGTGTTGGCTGTGGTTGCTAACGTGCTGTCCTGGCGTAATACTGTTATGGCTGGCGCCTTCTGTTGCCGCCTAGTTGCGCTGTCGCGTAAGCTGAACTTAGCGCAGTTTGTTGCCAGCTCGCTGGCGTTGCGGAGTTTATGCGTACGGCGTGTCTCTGCTGTGTTGTGGCCCAGCGACGTGCAGCCCTGTCGGCTGCTGCCTGGTCTGACTGCAAGCCGCGCAAGCCGCAACATCGAGGTTGAGGGTTTACCGCCGGCGTCCAGCCACGGCCTACTCATGTCGATGGGAATGTAGTGTCGAACCTGGATAGCGACGCAGTCCACAGCGCTTCAGACGCCCGTGGGAGACGTTGGCAAGGGCGGTGGAAAAGCAAGCCTCAGGCGCTTGCATGCTTGAAATAATGTTTGGGATGTCTGTTAGAACGCTGGAAAGTAAGCCTGGGGAGCTTGCAGGCTTCGGCGAGCAAGCTTCGAAGGAGCCTTGAGGGGGCCAAGAGGGGCCGCGAGCCGAGTTCGGAGTTCGAGTGCTTCGTGGCCGCGGGGAAAGGGGGCTAGCGGAAATCAGGTACAGGGCGGGGCTAGTTGACCGACCCGACCTGGGCGAATGCAGTGGTAACTGGGGCCTGGTTTGTTTTGCAAATGCTGCTTGAGATTTGAGCATCTGTTTGTAGAGTGAGTATTTATCTCTCGGGCAGCAGTTCAGGGCGCGCCCGCCATCTTATTGTCAGATTCCTAGTTGCTGGTTTACCACAAAAAACTAACAGGAAGCAACGTCGTGTCGACAGCATGTTTGGCGTGCGGTTTGTTCACGGACTTGAACTCGACATTTGGAGAATCTATCGAGCTCTCGATTGCAGCGTTCGATTCGGCAGCCTTCGAAGCATTCGATCGGAGCCTTTAGAAGCCTGAGCTCAGTTTGCTATTCGAGCTGTAATTGTACAACTGTTATCACGCTACAGCCGCCCTTACTATAAGCGCATACGTCGATTTGGGAAATCTTGAAAGTGAGAGTTGTTCCAGAGTTCTCGATTACTTCGATCGATTAGGCAGCCTCGAAAGCGTTGGTCTGCGCCACGAGAGGCCTGGGGTCACTCTGCTACGCGTGTTAGCATGGACAAACTTTATTGTACTGTGCAGCCGCTCTTGCATATCAAAGTATGCCGATTCAGGAAATCTCGAGACCTACAGCACCTACGGAGATTTGGACCATCTCAATCGAGCTATGAGTCAACATCAGTTTCTCACTCTGCAGCCGTTTTTGCTAGATTGGAATGTGTGTTTATTTGGAGAACCTCGAGCTTGAAAACAAGCTTCAAGTCTCGAGCTGACATGGTCCCAGTGCACCTTCCAAAGGCTCCAAACAAACCCCCAACCGCCCCAAGGAAACCCCGGAGGCTTCAGACTATCCCAGAGGGTTCAGTATGTCCCGAATCTTTGAAAGAACCCCGGCGAGGCCCCCAAGGGTAGCCCAAGTAACAACCACCCAGATACCCCCCCGTCCCATCCCCTCCTCCCGCCCCCCCCTTATCCCACCGTTGAGGCCCTCGACAGACCGCAGCTGGCCTCAAAAGGAACCAACAGGCAATCATCCGAACGATCAGGTTTTCGTCGGCGTCTTCTCGCCACCTCCTTCTCCATTTTCCCGCTCCCATCGGAGTCGTTTCCGTCGTCCTTGCTCCCTCCCCCCTTGTTCCATCCCCCCCTCCTTCTCTCCATCTCGTTCGTTCTCTTCGTCTTCCTCGTCGCTCCTCCCCCCCTCCTGCTCTCACGGCGCCCGCCTTCCCCGTCCTCCGTCGCTTCTTGCTTCTCCTCTCAACCTTCCCCCCCCTCCGTCGTTGCCCGACGAGTCCCCCGCCCCTCTCCGCCTCTCGTGCTCATCGTCTTTGCAGAGAAGTGTTGGCGCGGCCGCCTCTTCGTCCCGTCTTGGGAAGACTGGTGGAGGGACGAACACACCTGCGCGCTCGCCATTGTATCGAGAAGGGGGGATCTCGCAGTTCGCATGGCACCCTTATCGTGTCGTTCCCTCAATGCGACAGTGATTTCGTGATGCCCCGATCCTGGGTTACCGACGCGGTGTGGGGGACCCATGGGAAATCCGTATTGGTTTTTGGCCGTGGTTGATTGTTTGCTGCTATTCTCTGCTATTCTCATCTACTCACGTACCAGACCAGTCGGCACACAAAACTCCCCGGAGTCGACACCGCCGAAATGGGAGTCCAAAGCCCGCCGATGTCCGCGCGAAGCTGTCCCCAGAGGCCAGACGTCACATTCAAACATCACGGCAAACTAGTGTTGGCCCAATTCTCCTGGTTGTTGGGTCTTCGCTTTGAATCCGCCGCTTGCGTCCTCCTCCTTGCATCCTTTCCCTCCTCCTTCCTCCCTCCTCACATTCTTTCCCTTTTCCTGCTCTTCCTCCTGCCTCTCTTCTGCTCGTGTCCGTACCAGCACGCCCCTGACACGTCTCGTAGCTCCACAGGGAGTTCCACCTGCGGTCCAGGTCGGTGCGTCCACATGCGGTTCCCCCGCTCATGTCAGTACACTCCTGACATACTTCGTGCCCCACGTGGAGCTCCACCTACGATCCCATTGGGTGCGTCCACATGCGGCCCCCCGATCCACTTCAGCGCACCCCTTACGGAGAGTGCCCCACAGGGAGCTCCACCTACGGCCCCGGTGGATGCGTCCACATGCGCCCCCCGTCCACTTTGGCACACGCCTCACACGGACCGTGGCCCCACATGGAGCTCCGACTACGGACAAGGAGAATGCGTCCTCATGCAGAGTCCCCGCCCAGCTCGGCACCTCTCACACCCTTCGTGCCCCACGCCCCCATGGCGCACGGGCACATTTTTGAAAACACTTCTCACGCATTTCGTGGCGACATAAAATTTAGCTCCACCGCATGGCGTACGCGGATCCATGTCAGCACACGCCTCGCACGGTTTGTGGCCTCCAGTCATGGCGTCACGGTCTCTTTTCAAAACATGTGCCACGCGGCAAATTCAGGAGCCCCTCAGTGCCCCCGTGGCCCCAGCAGGGATCTGGCTAATTCGGGGGTCGCAAACGTAACGGATTACATTTCTATAAGTGCCAGTTCAATTCGGGCCTCCTGGTGCCTCCTGTGGCGTCCTCCGACGGTTACGAGGATCTGCACTCTCGGCGCACATGGCGCTGGCGCCCCCCAGCGCACGTGGCGTTAGCGTCACCATACAAAAAAACGGCGACAGGGCGCACATGGCGTTAACACCCTCCTGCAGACACTATGTCACGGCGATTTTCCAGGAGTCTTAGTGCCCTCTTGGGCCCTGGCATCGCAGACGTGATGGGTTCCTTTTGTGAAGGTGGCTCCCAGGGGCCTCCAATGGGGTCCCTTCAGAGAAGGAGGTCTAGAATTCGATTCTCACGAGGATCTGCACTCTCGGCGAACATGACGTCAGTGCGCTCTCGTCGAACATGGTGTCAGTGCCCCTCTTCCAGATCTGTCTCACGCCGCACACGGCGGTAGCGCCCCCTTGCAAGACATGTATGGCGCACGCGGCGTCAGCGGCAGCGGTCGCCATGTGCCCCAGTGGGAACTCTACCGAAGGTCCCACAATGGAGCTCCACCGATGGCCTCAGAGGGAAAGTTCGGGTGCGTCCCCCCGCCTAGTTCGGCACACCCCTCGCTCGACTCGTGTACTCATCCTGCCCCCCCCTCCGCTCCCTTGTCCTCCTCTTCCGCGTCGTAGGCCGTTCAGTCGACCTCTTCTTATTCCCATCTGCCCTGCGCTACTCCCAGCTGCATCAGGTTGGGCCCTTCGCCAGGATAATTTTGGGTCACGAGTCTTGGAGCACGGAGACTCCTTGCGAGCAGTGCTGGAATTATGGCGTCCGGCTCGCCGTCTGAGCTTGAAACAATGTTTCGGCAGAGGCAGCGGTTGCTCAAAGAAGCCACGACGGGCTTGATGGCACTCTTGTGGCTCTCAGTGCGCTTTAGGACGTTTGGGATTTTACGGGGTTTCAGATTGTCATCGATCTGTTGTATCTCCGCATGTCCACTTGTGGTGGTGAAGATCGCATTGTGGTGCGAGTCAGCTGGGGGAGCAGGATCTGAAACGAGACAGGAGTCAAGCGCGCGCGTTGGTACGATCCGCCATTCGCGCCATGTTGTTCCTCAAGCTAGATTAGTGCTGAATTTGTTTTAGGCTGCTTGGCATGCCACCCTGATGGGTGCCTTCTCGTTTATCGGATTCCTGCGTTTTTTTACCTACATATCGATACCACTCTCTCTTGTCGATTCCCCCCCGTACCTGCATTCTTTCCCTCCGTGGGTCTTCCCAGGACCAGGATCAAGGATTTGATTGCATGTGTGATCTTACGTTATGTTTTACATCTTTCGCGTCGTCAGTCGATCGTATAGTGTCTTCGTACCTTCTCGGCTTCGCGAAGCGTGGAATGACGGACTACTGCGAAGGCCTCCCAGCCGGTGCCGCCGACCCTGAAGGAGGACGGCGACAACGGCGGCGGCGGCGACGACGACGCTGACGTGGGCCTTTGCAGGGTTCTCGGGGGCCTTTCGGGAGGAGTTTTGGGGCCTCTTGGAAGCCTCTTGGGGGCCTCTTCGGGCTTTCCGGGGACCTCTTGTGGGCCTCTTGGGCATCTTGGGAACCTCTTGGGAGGGCGGAGGGGCGGAGGGCTCGAAGTGTGCGCTCGTGTACCCCCGTCTGGGCACGCTCTTGGAGCCGTCCTCGGCGCCTCTCTCTGGCCGTCTTGGAGGCGTTTTGGGCAGTCTTGGGGTCCTCTTGGGCTGTTTTAGGGCCCTCTTGGAGGCCTATTGGGCAGCCTGGACGGCGTGAAAGCGTTTTGGACCGATCGTTTGGCGATTGGGTGCCCCTTTGGACCATCTCCAGGGCCTCTAGGGGCAATCGTGGCCTGTCTTGGTTCTTTCCGAGGCCCTGGGACCTTGAACCATCTCCGGGGCCTCTAGGGGCGATCGTTGCCTGTTTTGGTTCTTTCCGAGGCCCTGATTTCCCTTGGAGGAAATGCGTATTTTACCCCTCCTTCCCCCCCCTTCCCTACCCCCCCTCCCCTCCGACCCCCCGGTACACCCCTTGGGACCCCCCATGACGGAGAGGAGATCAACGGGAGTTTCCCTTCGACTCGATCACGACATTGCCAGCATTTTCCCTTGCTAATAGGCTTGGGGAGGATGATGCATGGAAATGGGGACGACGAAGACGACGACTGACGGAGACGACGACTGACGGAGACGACGATCGGAACTGACAAGTCCCTCACACACGCGGGCTTCACGAATCGTGGAATGACGGGCTGTTCATGATGACGAGTGCTTGGTGCCCGTGCTCTAGAGATGATCCTCATATGAGGGAGGACCGAAGCGCACTTGGCAAATCGGAGGGACTCAACAGCCGAAAGGCTGACCATCGCGGCCACAGCTTTTTGCCACACGCATCGTCCACACCGTGAGACTGATCAGCACGGCTGCGCACCCTTTCCTCCAAGGCTAGAATACAGTTCCATCAGTTCCACTGTTTCCTCGCATGACCTCGCATATCCTTCTCTGTCATCTTACCTCGTCCTCCCTTTTCGCCCTTGCAGGCGGTCCTCCTCACCCTGCTTCTCTGCTCGACGCCGTCCTCGCCGTCGTCGTCGTCGTCGTCCTCCTCCTCCTCCTCCATGTACGCACTCTTTTGGTGCCCTCGTCCTGATTCTCCTGGTCCCTCTCATCCTCTTGATTCTCCATGTTGCTGATCCGCCTCTTTAACCGATACCTGCTTCCCCTTCCGATCCGCGTCTTCCTCCTCCTGACCCTCGTGACCCATCGCCCTCCTCCTCTGCTACTCCTTCTTCTCCTTCTCTCCTCTCCCTCCCCTTCCCTCACTTCTCCTGATCCTCGTCCTGTCCGTACCTCCCTCCCCCTGCCTCCTCCTCCCCCTCTTCCTCCTCCTCTGCGCTCCTCCTCCTTACCCTTCTCCTCGTCCTACTCCTCCTCCTCTTCCTCCTCTGTCCTCGTCCCCCTGGTCGTCGTCGTCGTCGTCGTCGTCCACCTCCTCCTCCTCCTCCTCCTCCTCCTCCTCCTCCTTGACGGCCGCCGCTCGAGCCTCCCAGGTGCGCTATGCCGCGCTGCCAGCAGCCGCGCCAGCCGCGGGCACCCCCACGCAGGCTGCGTGACAGCCCACCCTCGGGGGGTGGGGGGGGGGCACCGCCTGGCGGCGTCGGCGTCAGGGGCAGCGTTGTGTGGGGAAGGGGCCCAGGGGGGGGGACGTTTCGGGGCTCGGGGCTCGAGGCTCGAGGCTTTCGGACGTGGTCGCTTGTTCACGGCAGCTGTTCGCCTTTCCTATCCCCCCCTCTCTCCCTCGACCTCGACTCCTGTCTCCCCCCCTCCTCAACTCGTCCCTCCTCTCTTTCCCACCCCACCCCTCAGTCTGGGTCCCCCTGCCTGCCCTCTCCCCCCATGTCCGCGTCCCTGTCCCTGGCCCTGTCCTCTTTTTTGGGGGGGGCCAGTATGCAGCCGGCCTCGCATCGTTTTCTGGCGGTGTTGATCTGGCTTGAGCTTCGACGTCTGTGGGCTGAGACCTCCCCGCGCGACCGTCGGCCAGTTAGCCAGCCCTCAGGGACGAGATGGATGCGTCATCATCGCCCGCCTCAGGCTTGGTGTTTCGTGCTGTGTTGACCCGCAGCGGCCCAGTGCTAGAGCTACGGGAAAGTTGCCAGCAGTTCTCGCAGCGCATTCCCAACATGGAGGGGCTAGCACTGGTGTGCGAGCGGTGAGCATCGAGGCGCGCCTGGTGGCTTGCCTGGGAAAGCCCCAAGGTGAGCAGGCCATCGGAAGGCCTGATGAAGGTCATTCCCGGCGGTCTCTGCGTGCTCTTTGGATTCAGTCAAGACGGGGTCCTGACTGTTCCTAGGTGCTACGGAGGACATGGGCAAGGCTGGTAGCACACTGATGCTGCGCTGTTTTGCTGGTAGCGAGGGCATTCCCGCGATCGTGATCGGCCAAGTCGCTGGCAGCCGTGCAGCGTTGCGTGGCGCAACGCCGCTTGGCAGACCCTACTGGAGTCGCTTGGATGCCTCCGCCCTACCATGAAACGCGCCATGGTCGACTACGGGGAACAACAATCTGGATTCTTAAAACGAATTTTCAAATCTCTCAGAATCTTCGAAAAACCGACCCCAGGTTGACACATTGTCCGTTCTGGCCGGGTCGGCCAACTAGCTCCCGCGGGTTGCCCCGCGGTTGGTGGTGCTGAGGCCGTGAGGTCCCGTACCCGGGTGGGGCAGGGCAGTGGCTGCTCGCTGCGTGGAGGGCCTGGGTGTGCGGCAGCACTGTCCAGCCAGAGGGAGACAGAGGGAAAGGGAGGGGGAGAAGGATATACACATATATTTTTTTTTAGAGAGAGAGAGAGAGAGAGAGAGAGAAAGAGAGAGAGAGAGAGAGAGAGAGAGAGAGAGGGAGAGAAGGCAAAAGTCACATCGAGCAGGTGGAGAGCGGGAGAGGGGGAATGAAGGACGATGGAGGGAGGGAGGGAGAGCGGTACACGAATATCCATGCGTACATATGTAGGTACACACAGGGATAGAAGCTTTGTGACACAGATCGAGAAAGAAATAGAGAGAGAGAGGGAGATCAAGAGAGAGAGAGAGAGAGACAGAGAGGGAGAGAGGAATAAACAAACACAATCAGACACGCGAGCATATGACCCACGCCGCGAAGGTGCGAGCGGCCCGGCGGCAGCGGCTCCGCCGCGGTGTTGGACGCTGCTGCTGCTGTGCCTGCCCGTGGTGTTGGGCGCGACGGAGTACGACCCCGACGCGGGGGGGGGGAGGGGGGGAAGTGTCGACCAAGCAAAGGGCACGCCTGCCCTGGCTTTCGCAAGATGGAGGGCAAGGGCCAGGCGAGGCGTTGCGAGAAGGGAGGGTTCCTGGGGCCATCCTGGCGTTCTCCTGGAGCCATCATGACCATCATGACCATCATGAGGAAGCAGGGGCCGGGGGGCCCAGGGGGGCGACGAGCGAACGAACGACGACGAGAGTAAAGGGCCCTCGAGCTTTGGAACACAGCTGTGCAATATGATAGTTATTATAACATTGCAAATAATGAGGTTTACATAACAAGAAAGGCATTACCATAATATGAACAGCATTCATCATAGGGCTTTGGGGCTATAGGGCTGTAAGGCTATGGGGCTATAGGGCTATTAGGGCTATAGGGCTATTGGGCTATAGGACTATTAGGGCTTTTTAGGGCTTTAGGTCTGTATGGCTATAGGGCGATGAGCTATAGGGCTCCAGGGATATACAGCTATAAGGCTATACGGCTATAAGGCTATAGGGCTATAGGGCTAATGGGCACCCAGGCACCCGTGCACCTGGGCACCAGGGAACCCGGGCACCCGGGCACCCGGGCACCTGGGCACCCGGGCACCTGGGCACCCAGGCATCTGGGCACATGAGCACCCCCCGGCACCCGGTCACCCAGGCACCCGGGCACCCCCATGCACCTGGGCACCCGGTCCCGGCCACCGAAATCGGCGACGTAGGTCACCTACACATATGAATCTGCTAGGACCCCTACAGATGCAAGCTCTGACTGGGGAACTGAGTAAGCGAATCAATTCTAGCGTTCGTTTTCATAGTTGTATTCGGAGTAGTAACCAGGATAAGCAACAATGACAAAGGTAATACCAATAATACGATCACTGGTAATAGTTTTGGAGACTGCTGCGAGTTTCTTAATTAATGTCTGGGGGGCCACACTCCCGCCGATAGCCGCACATCGACCCCCGTCGCGGGTAGCCACCGCGCGCCGAAAGCACTCCGTCGCAGCGTGACGACGAGGCGAGGTTGACACCTGTCGGGGGGTACCTCCCCATGCTTTTCAAATACCCAGAGTATTCATACTGATGATGATACTTGTAGTGCGAGTACTAGTACTAGCCCGAGTAGTAGCAGCAGTAGTAGTAGCAGCAGCAGTAGTAGTAGTAGTAGTAGTAGTAGTAGTAGTAGTAGTAGTAGTAGTAGTAGTAGTAGTAGTAGTAGTAGTAGTAGTAGTAGTAGTAGTAGTAGTAGTAGTAGTAGTAGTAGTAGTAGTAGTAGTAGTAGTAGTAGTAGTAGTAGTAGTAGTAGTAGTAGTAGTAGTAGTAGTAGTAGTAGTAGTAGTAGTAGTAGTAGTAGTAGTAGTAGTAGTAGTAGTAGTAGTAGTAGTAGTAGTAGTAGTAGTAGTAGTAGTAGTAGTAGTAGTAGTAGTAGTAGTAGTAGTAGTAGTAGTAGCAGTAGCAGTAGCAGTAGTAGTAGTAGTAGTAGTAGTAGTAGTAGTAGTAGTAGTAGTAGTAGTAGTAGTAGTAGTAGTAGTAGTAGTAGTATAGTAGTAGTAGTAGTACCAGGAGCAGTAGTCGTAGTAGTGGTACTAGTCCTAGTAGTAGTAGTAGTAGTAGTAGTAGTTGTTGTTGTCGTAGTCGTAGTCGTAGTCGTAGTCGTAGTAGTAGTAGTAGTAGTAGTAGTAGTAGTAGTAGTAGTAGTAGTAGTAGTAGTAGTAGTAGTAGTATGTACCAGTAATACTGCTAGTAAGAATACTGGTGCTAATCATTGCATTTGCAATACTTTAGTACAATACGACCCACGGCACAATTACCTTGACGTACAACAATAATTCTGTGAGCCATAAAGAATATGAATCATACGAGCTCGAATCATAATGTGCATACTCCTATTACTACTGATACCTATTTATAACACCAATAAAAATGGTTTCATGGATAATGCCAACACTGATATCAATACTACTTGTACTTGTAATACTAGTCGCCATCGCAGGCTGCACGTACATAACCTCTGGGGCGTCCGCGCGGATTTCAAAGATTTCTGGAGGTGTGGGCAGGGGGCGCGGCCGCCTGTGCTGTGGTCTGAAAGAGCGTGTTCTACCCCTGCTGGCGGAAAACCGTGGGGGGTCACTGGAGGTTCCTAACCCGTCCCCCCCTCCCTCGAAACCGGGGGGGATCTCACGGGTTCGAACCCCCGCCCCCCCCAGTCCATCATGAAAAGGGGGGGGTCACTACCGGTCCGAACCCCCCCCCCTCGAAAACGGGGAGGGGTCATTACCGGTTCGAACCTCTCCCCCCCCCTCGAAAACCGGGGGGGGGGGGTCACTACCGGTTCGAACCCCTCCCCCTTCGCCGCCGGCAAACGATGCCCGCCCCTCGGGACAGTTGGAGAAGGGGGGGTATGTTGGGACAGTGGTGGGAACGGTGGTGGTGGGGACAGTGGTGCGGGGACAGTGGGACAGTGGTGCGGACAGTGGTGGGGACGGTGGTGGTGGGGACAGTGGTGAGGGGACAGCAGGACAGTGGTGGGGACAGTGGGACAGTGGTGGGGACGGTAGTGGTGGGGACAGTGGTGAAGGCGGTGGTGAGGACAGTGGTGGGACAGTAGTACAGTGGGGAGAGTGGTGGGGACAGTGGGGACAGTGGGACAGTGATGGGGACAGTGTGGACGGTGGGACAGCACAGTGGGACAGCGGCGGGGACAGTGGGAGAGTTGTGGGAACAGTGGGGACAGTAGGACAGTGGTGGGGACCGTGGGGAAAGTGGGGAGAGTGGGACCGTGGTGGGACAATGGTGGGGAAAGTGGGGACAGTGAGACACTGGTGGGGGGGGACACTGGTGGGGACAGCGGGGACAGTGGTGGGAACAGTGGGGATGGTCGGACAGTGTTGGGGACAGTGGTGGTGGGGACAGTGGTGTGGGGACAGTGGGAATGTGGTGGAAACAGTGGGACAGTGGAGGGCACAGTGGTGGTGGCGACAGTACAGGGCGGTGGCGCGGACGGTGGTGGGATAATGGGGCAGAGGTACAGTAGGGACAGTGGTGGGGGGACAGTGGGGACAGTGGTGGGAACAGTGGGACAGCTCAGTGGGACAGCGGCGGGGACAGTGGGACAGTGGGACAGTGGGGACAGTGGGACAGTGGTTGGGGCCGTGAAGAAAGTGGGGATAGTGGAACCGTTGTGGGAACGGTGGTGGGGACAGTGGGGACAGTGCGACAGTGGTGGGGGCACTGGTGAGGATAGTGGTGACGATGGTGGGAACAGTGGGGACAGTGGTGGTGAGGGCAGTGGTGCTGCGGACAGCAGGGGGGGAAGTGGGGCGGACGGTGGTAGGGGCCCAGAGTTGTGTGCTGGCGGTGAGCGTGGGGGGTGGGAAGGGGTTCGAACCAGTAGTGACCCCCCCGGTTTTCGAGGGGGGGGGCCTCGAACCGGTAGTGACCCCCCTGGTTTCGAGAGGGGGGGGGGGCCGGGGGGTTCGAAACGGTAGTGACCCCCCTCCCGGTTTTCGAGCGGGGGGGGGTTCGAATCGGTAGTGACCTTTTTCTGGTTTTCTGGGGGGGGGAGGGGTTCGAACCAGTAGTGACCCCCGCCCGGTTTTCCAGACCAGGGGGGGGTTCGAACCGGTAGTGACCCCCCTGGTTTTCCGGAGGGGGCAGGGGGGTGTTAGGGAAGGGGGGGGGGGTTGCCAGGGGGAAGGGGGGGGGAGACCAACAGGGGGGGGATTTTCGAAGGGGGGGGACCCCCGCCGGGTTCAGGAGAAAGAGGGGGGTGGAATTTTCCGCAGTAAAGCGGCGGTGGATCACGCTCTCTTTGTGGTCTAGGGGTCGATCATGGACCCCTTGTTTAACACAACCGTTGAGCTTTCGCACCGAGGGCCGCCAGGAACCGCCGAAGGCCGCTGGAGCGCGCCCCAGACCGCCGAAAACCGTCAGAACACCGCCGAATACCGACCTAGGAGCCGCATCCTCTTGCCCTTGTCGCTGCCGCCAACGCTCCGTCCTCCTCCGCCCGCGTGGGCGCGCGCGCGCGCCTCCCTTCTCGCGCCCGATGGGGCAGGTTCCCCGACGGCGGCACGCCGCACGGCGCTGGTACGCTTCCTCATTGGCCTGCAGTTGCTTGAGTGTGAGTGCGCGCCCTCCGGCTGTGGCTTCCTGGTGGGGCAATTGTTGTGGACCTCCGATCCGATCCGATACTTTTCCTCCTCCTCCTCCTGCCCTTTGGAGAATGCGCCCCTCCCCCCTTTGCTCGAGTGCGTGGGTTTGATGGCTGCCGCTGCTCCACTGCAAGCCTCGGCGGCGAGCGAGAGGGGGAAGTGAGAAGGAAAATGCCTTCTCAGAAGTCGGAGGGGCTTCTCAGTCGCCGTCGCGCCTTCTGATGAGCTTTCTGAGTCTTCGGGGAAGGCTCAGAAAAAGTTCTCAGAATGTCGCAGGACTTCCGAGCCTTCCGAGAAGGCCTTCTCGTTCTCATTTACCGCTCGGGGTCGCCGCCGAAAGCCACTCGGGCTTGGGCCACCGCCGCGTAGAGTCCCCCGTGGCGCCGGGGCCCCGATTCGGGCACCCAGTTCGGACACCAGGGCAGGGGGTCCAGGCCTGGACGGTGCCCACGCACGGCGTCTCGGAGCACCAGGCCGCCTTTCCGCAGAGGGCACCAGCCGGCAGGCACATGACAGGGTTCAGCGCAGACGGGGCTCAGCCAGAGCGCTGGATGCTGCAGGAGCCTGCAGAGCCAGATGCAGGTCGAACGGGGTTAGAGGGCCGCTCGTGGCCTTGGAGGTGGCCTCACCTACATTTCGGCTCAGCCGGGTTGAGAAGCCCCCCCCCCCCACACATTGCAGTGCATTTTTTTTTCTGATTTGGCTGAGCCCAGTTTGCGTTGAGCCGGGTCAGTCCACGCCCGACCACCCTGGGAATGGTGTGTACCTCAGGTGACCCAGCAGTCCTTTCACTCGCGGTCCGCGCTGGTCGTTGAGCAGGGAGCACTTTTCCTCGTCATGCGCAGTTTTCTGCCGTTGCTGTTTTTTTTTCTGGGCTCGGGCCGCCGTCAGTCCATCGCTCCCCACGTTCGCTGAGCTACTAATCGTACTCTTCCAGTCGCCTCCATTGCCGAAGCGTTCTCCCATCACGTCCTTCCCCCTCGAGGGAAGTCGGCCTGCGAGAACCCCAGACTCGTTCGTTGGTTCGTCAATGTGGGCGGGTGCAGCTACGTATTGAGACGGCATGGCTGTACGGCAACATGAACAAGTACGCCTACTACTTCACCGACCTGCTGATAGGCAGCGGTAGCCTTCAGCACACACCAGGGGTTGTTGGAGGACAGGAGCAGACGTGCACGGCTTGTAAAGACGTGTAGCCAGTCTTTCCTTACGGAGCGTGCCCTTAGAAGCATCGCCCTCAGATGGAAGATGCCTCCCCGATCGTGCATTCAGTGCCTTGAGATCTGTCACAGCCTGGGCGCACCCAGAAGCGGTGAATCAGTGGAGCTGGCCGCAGGAGAGCCCCGGCATCGCGAGGGTCGGTGCAGCGTGTGTGATATTTCGCAGGGGGAGGGTGGCGAGGAGGGGAGCCCCGACGTGGTAGGCTGTGGGCAGCCTGTGGCCTTTCGCCTCACTGCGCTGTGCGAAACCGGGGGATCGGGGAGGAGGATGAGGAGAAGGAGGACGAGGAGGAGGAGGAGGAGGAGGAGTTGGGAGGGAGAGGAGGAGAATGAACACGGTAAGCATGAAGATGAAGATGACGACGCTACGACGACGACGCTACGACGACGACGCTAGGACGACGCCGACGGCGACGACGATGATGTCATGATGCTGTCGATGCGGATGCTGATGCTGATGCTAAGTACGATGGTAACGGTGATGGTGATGGTGATGGTGATGGTGATGCTGATGGTGATGGCGATGCTGATGAGTGTGACGATGATGATGATGATGACGATGTTGTTGCTGTTGTTGTTGTTGTTGTTGTTGTTGTTGTTGTTGTTGCTGCTGTTTTTGTTGCTGTTGCCGTTGCTGTTGCTGTTGCTGTTGCTGTTGCTGTTGTTGTTGTTGTTGTTGTTGTTGTTGTTGTTGTTGTTGTTGTTGTTGTTGTTGTTGTTGAACATTATTAATTCTAAAGAATAATTATTGTTGGGACCCCTGGTGCACGGCCCCCCCGCCGCGCCTAGGCCGCAGCTACATTTTCATCATTTTTTCGCGAAAGCTTCAGAAAAGTGGATGGGGTCCAGATCCGGTTGTTTTGTTGTAATCCGTTTTCCCTTGCAAAAAACACTATAAAATGACATTTCTTGTTCTAATATAATCAAATTTCAAGAATCCCTTGCAAAAAATAAGGTAAAGTGGACATTCGCGCGCGCAAGACGAAATCCTTCCAAAAGCTTAGTGTTCGGAGCGATTTTAACATAAAAACATCAAAAAACCAATGGTTTTTCAACAAAAAAATGTCAAAATCTCATCCCGCGCGCTCTTGCGGATTCGTAGGAAAACCAACACTTTTTAAACATTTCCCATCATCCCATCATATTCCCATCATCCCAGGAACTTGACCCAAAAATGTGACCAACTCCGCTCTCTCTGTCTCTCTCTCTGTCTGCTCTCTGTCTCTCTCTCTGTCTCTCTGTATTATGTATTGTATGGCACAATTGCACCATGCTGGGCACATGCGCGCCCCGAATAAGTGACCAAGTTCTGTGGGTGTGTACCCCACGCCAGTGTAGTAGCCACGGTCGTCCGCACGCCACGAAGTGAAGTGTCCCAACGTCATAGGGCGGGAAGCTGGGTTTGGGTGGTCGCGAAGAGTCGTTTGGATATTTGGTAGAGCTTGTAATGCCCCCCCACGAAGTGGGGGTATTGCCTGGTGTCGTATGAAAACCCTGGCACTGGGGAGAACACCACGCGTTCGGGTAAAATGATTGTTGTTGTTGTTGTTGTTGTTGTTGTTGTTGTTGTTGTTGTTGTTGTTGTTGTTGTTGAATTTTCATTTCTGAAGAATAATTATTGTTGATCCCCCCCACCGGTGCATACTGTTTTTTCTCAATCAAAGTGTGCCCCTCGACGCGCGCACCCTGTTTTTGGACAGGGAAAGTCTTCCTGCTCAAACTGGGCCCCTGGCCCCCGGGTTACAGCAACAACGGCTCCCGCTTGAGACTTCCTTACAATTTAGCCAGGACCCCCGCTCCCGCCCGAGACTTCCTCGCATTTGATTCAGGAATCGCGCTCTCGCTGGGGACTTCCTTGCAATTTATTAAGGAATCGCTCTCCGGGCGCTCTGGAGTCGCGCTCTCGCTGGAGATTTGCTTGCAACTTGCTGAAGAATGGCCTTGCGTTGGAATTTCCTGCAATTTGCCCAAGCTCCACGCTCCCGACACCCAGGCACCCAGGAGTCGCGCCCGTTGTGGCCCCATGTGCATGCCCTTCGTGGCCCCGCTGTCGCCATTTGTGTCCCCCTCACTGTCCTACGTGGCCCAGTTGCTACCCTCAGTGGCCCCATAGTTGCCTTCTGTGGCCCCGCATTATCTGCACTTCGTGGCCCCCGCTCGTTCGCGCTCTTCGTGGCCCCATACGCATTCCCTTCGTGTCCCCGCTGTCGCCCTTCGTGGCCTACTTCGTGCCCTTCGTGGCCCTGCTGTCGTTCTCTCTCGCTCTCGCTTTCGCTCGTCGCCGTCGTCGTCGTCGTCGCCGTCGTCGTCGTCGTCGTCGCCGCCGTGTTCGACGTCGTCGTCGTCGTCGTCGTCGTCGTCGTCGTCGTCGTGGTCGGTCCCCTGTCCGTCCCTCTTGGGGTCGGGTCGACGGTCCGCGGCCCCCCCGCCGATCAGCGCTGCCACTGGCCAGGCCGACGGTCCGCGGCCGCCCCGCCGCTTGCCGGGGCCCGGCCTGCAGGGAAGAAAAGTATACCCCCCAAAAGGGGTTCGATCGAAGACGAAGAGGGCGGGTATCGAGGGTTTGGGAAATACGCGTTATTGGACACTCGAGCATAAAAGGGCGAACAGTCTTAAAAGTATTATTAGCATTATTATTATTATTGTTGTTGTTGTTGTCGTTGTCGTTTTTTTTTTTTTTTTTTTTTGTTTGTTGTTGTTGTTGTTGCTGTTGTTGTTGTTGTTGTTGTTGTTGTTGTTGTTGAACATTATTAATTCTAAAGAATAATTATTGTTGGGACCCCTGGTGCACGGCCCCCCCGCCGCGCCTAGGCCGCAGCTACATTTTCATCATTTTTTCGCGAAAGCTTCAGAAAAGTGGATGGGGTCCAGATCCGGTTGTTTTGTTGTAATCCGTTTTCCCTTGCAAAAAACACTATAAAATGACATTTCTTGTTCTAATATAATCAAATTTCAAGAATCCCTTGCAAAAAATAAGGTAAAGTGGACATTCGCGCGCGCAAGACGAAATCCTTCCAAAAGCTTAGTGTTCGGAGCGATTTTAACATAAAAACATCAAAAAACCAATGGTTTTTCAACAAAAAAATGTCAAAATCTCATCCCGCGCGCTCTTGCGGATTCGTAGGAAAACCAACACTTTTTAAACATTTCTGTCAAACGGGCTTTTGCGAGCAACTTTTTCGAACTTCTGCGACAACGGTTGCGCACCTGCCAGGGCCATCATCCCTGTCAAATAATACCATCCGCGCATGTGCCCAGCATGGCACAATTGCACCATGCTGGGCACATGCGCGCCCCGAATAAGTGACCAAGTTCTGTGGGTGTGTACCCCACGCCAGTGTAGTAGCCACGGTCGTCCGCACGCCACGAAGTGAAGTGTCCCAACGTCATAGGGCGGGAAGCTGGGTTTGGGTGGTCGCGAAGAGTCGTTTGGATATTTGGTAGAGCTTGTAATGCCCCCCCACGAAGTGGGGGTATTGCCTGGTGTCGTATGAAAACCCTGGCACTGGGGAGAACACCACGCGTTCGGGTAAAATGATTGTTGTTGTTGTTGTTGTTGTTGTTGTTGTTGTTGTTGTTGTTGTTGTTATTGTGTTTGTTGTTGTTGTTATTGTGTTTGTTGTTGTTGTTGAACATTATTTCTTCTTAAGAATAATTATTGTTGGGACCCCTGGTGCGCGACCTCTGCGCCGCGCCTAGGCCGCAGCTACATTTTCATCATTTTTTCGCGAAAGCTTCAGAAAAGTGGATTGTGTCCGGATCCGGTTGTTTTGTTGTAATCCGTTTTCCCTTGCAAAAAACAATAGAAAATGAAAATTCTTGTTCTTACTTGATCAAATTGCAAGAATCCCTTGCAAAAAATAAGGTAAAGTGGACATTCGTGCGCGCAAGACGAAATCCTTCCAAAACCTTAGGTTTCGTAACGATTTTAACATAAAAACATCAAAAACCCAATGGTTTTTTAAGAAAAAATTGTCAAAATGTCCTTCCGCGCGCGCTGTCCGAATCCCACAAAACCAATGGTTTTTCAACATTTATGTTACATGAGCTCGCGCGAGCTACTTTTTCTTGTTCTAACATAATCAAATTTCAATAATCCCTTGCAAAAAATAAGGTAAAGTGGACATTCGCGCGCGCAAGACGAAATCCTTCCAGAACCTTAGGTTTCGTAACGATTTCAACATAAAAACATCAAAAACCCAATGGTTTTTCAAAAAAAAAATGTCCAAATTTCATCCCGCGCGCGCTGTCCGACTCCCACAAAACCAATGGTTTTTCAACATTTATGTTACATGAGCTCGCGCGAGCTACTTTTTCTTGTTCTAACATAATCAAATTTCAATACTCCCTTGCAAAAAAAAGTAAAGTGGACATTCGCGCGCGCAAGACCAACAAAAAACACGACGATCTCAGGAACTTGCCCCAAAAATGTGACCAACTCCGCTCTCTCTGTCTCTCTCTCTGTCTGCTCTCTGTCTCTCTCTCTGTCTGTCTGTGTCATGTATTGTATGTCACAATTGCAGGATGCTGGGCACACGCGCGCCCCGAATAAGTGACCAAGTTCTGTGGGTGTGTACCCCACGCCAGTGTAGTAGCCACGGTCGTCCGCACGCCACGAAGTGAAGTGTCCCAACGTCATAGGGCGGGAAGCTGGGTTTGGGTGGTCGCGAAGAGTCGTTTGGATATTTGGTAGAGCTTGAACTGCCCCCCCACGAAGTGGGGGTATTGTCTCGCGTCGCATGAAAACCCTGGCACTGGTGAGAACACTGAGCGTTCGGGTAAAATGATTGTTGTTGTTGTTGTTGTTGTTGAACTCTCATTCTTGAAGAATAATTATTGTTGATCCCCCCCACTGGTGCACATTGACTTTTTTCGATTGAAGTGCCACACCCGGGGCTCGCACTTTGTGCTTTCTTAAGGAAAGTCTTCCTGCTCAAACTGTGCCCCAGCCCCCCGGGCTGCAACAACAACGGCTCCCGCCTGAGACTTCTTCGATTTTTACTCAGGACCCCCGCTCCCGCCTGAGACTTCCGCGCAATTTACTCAGGAAAGGCGCTCCCGTCTGAGACTTCTTCGCAATGTAATCAGGACCCCCGCTCCCGCCGGAGACTTCCGTGCAATTTACGTGGGAACGGCGCTCCCGCTTGAGAATTCTTCGAATTTTACTCAGGACCCCCGCTCCTGCCTAACATTTCCGCGCAATTGACTCAGGAACGGCGCTCCCGTTTGAGACTTCCTCGCAATTTAGTGAGGACCCCCGCTCCCGCCTGAGACTTCCGTGCAATTTGCTCAGGAACGGCGCTCCCGCTTGAGACTTCCTCGCAACTTAGTCAGGGCCCCCGCTTCCGCCCGAGATTTCCTCACAATGTACTCAGGACTGCGCTCTCGCGTGCGACGTCCTCACAAATTATTCTGGAATTGCGTTTCGGCGCTCAGGAACCACGCGCGCGCCAAGGACGCCTTCACAACGTGGTATCTTCCCTCTTCCTTCGTCCTTCCCCCTCCCCTTCCTCCCACTCTCCCTCGTTCTTCCCCTCCTCCTCTTGCAGGGCCCGCGCCAATTCCAATGGCGGGCAGAGAGATGTACGCCCCCGAAGGATTGTCCGCCCGTTCCGGTTTGCCCGTACGTCTAAGCCCGCCGGCCCCAGCAAAGAGAAATAATCCCCCCGAAAGGGGTGTGATCGAAGACGAAGAGGGCGGGTATCGAGGGTGTAGGGTATACGTGTTGAATGACTCGCGGGCAAGTAAGAGCGTACAGCCTTAAAATGGTTGTTGTTGTTGTTGTTGTTGTTGTTGTTGTTGTTGTTGTTGTTGTTGTTGTTGTTGTTGTTGTTGTTGTTGTTGTTGTTGTTGTTGTTGTTGTTTGTTGTTGTTGTTGTTGTTGTTGTTGTTGTTGTTGTTGTTGAATTCTCATTTCTGAAGAATAATTATTGTTGATCCCCCCTCACTGGTGCAGGCTGGTTTTTCTCAATCAAAGCGTGCCCCTCGACGCTCGCACCCTGTTTTTGGACAGGGAATGTCTTCCTGCTCAAACTGGGCCCCTGGCCCCCGGGTTACAGCAACAACGGCTCCCGCTTGAGACTTCCTTAGAATTTAGCCAGGACCCCCGCTCCCGCCCGAGACTTCCTCGCATTTGATTCAGGAATTGCGCTCTCGCTGGGGACTTCCTTGCAATTTATTAAGGAATCGCTCTCCGGGCGCTCTGGAGTCGCGCTCTCGCTGGAGACTTGCTTGCAACTTACTGAAGAATGGCCTTGCGTTGGAATTTTCTTCAATTTGCCCAAGCGCCGCGCTCCCGACACCCAGGCACCCAGGAGTCGCGCCCGTTGTGGCCCCATGTGCATGCCCTTCGTGGCCCCGCTGTCGCCATTTGTGTCCCCCTCACTGTCGTACGTGGCCCAGTTGCTACCCTCAGTGGCCCCATAGTTGCCTTCTGTGGCCCCGCATTATCTGCACTTCGTGGCCCCCGCTCGTTCGCGCTCTTCGTGGCCCCATACGCATTCCCTTCGTGTCCCCGCTGTCGCCCTTCGTGGCCTACTTCGTGCCCTTCGTGGCCCTGCTGTCGTTCTCTCTCGCTCTCGCTTTCGCTCGTCGTCGTCGCCGCCGTGTTCGACGTCGTCGTCGTCGTCGTCGTCGTCGTCGTCGTCGTCGTCGTCGTCGTGGTCGGTCCCCTGTCCGTCCCTCTTGGGGTCGGGTCGACGGTCCGCGGCCCCCCCGCCGATCAGCGCTGCATCTGGCCAGGCCGACGGTCCGCGGCCGCCCCGCCGCTTGCAGGGGCCCGGCCTGCAGGGAAGAAAGGTATACCCCCCAAAAGGGCTTTGATCGAAGACGAAGAGGGCGGGTATCGAGGGTTTGGGAAATACGCGTTATTGGACACTCGAGCATCTAAGGGCGAACAGTCTTAAAAGTATTGTTGTTGTTGTTTTTGTTGTTGTTGTTGTTGTTTTTGTTGTTGTTGTTGTTGCTGTTGCTGTTGTTGTTGTTGTTGTTGTTTGTTTGTTTGTTTGTTTGTTTGTTTGTTTGTTTGTTTGTTTGTTTGTTGTTGTTGATGTTATTGTTGTTGTTGTTGGTGATGATGCTGATGATGATGACGATGATGATGATGCGGATTATGATGCTGCTGCTGATGGTGATGATGCTGATAATGATGATGATGATGATGATGATGATGCTGCTGATGATGATGGTGATCGTGATGCTGCCGATTCGGATGCCGCTGCTGATGATGGTGCTGCTGCTGCTGATGCTGCTGCTGCTGATTATGATGATGATGATATGATGAAGATGCTGCTGATGATGATGATGATGATGATGATGATGATGATGATGATGCTGCTGCTGATGATGATGATGATGATGATGATGATGATGATGATGATGATGATGATGATGATGATGATGATGATGATGATGATGATGATGGTGATGATGATGATGATGATGATGATGATGATGATGATGATGATGATGATGATGATGATGATGATGATGATGAGTTAGAGGAGGATGAGGAGGAGGTTGAGGATGAGGAGGAATATTAGGATGATGAAATATGATAATTGGGATGAGGATGAGTGTGAGGGTGAGGATGGATGATGAGGGAACGGCGCTATGATGCTGTAACGTGGCGAGGTCGTACCCTTGTTTGGTGGAGTGCGCTACCTTTTGGGGCCTTGAAGGCTTCTGGGGGTAGGGTATTTCTTGGTGCGTCCTGTGGGCACCCGAGACCGTTTGGGCGGGTGCCTCGGCCCGACAGCGGGCCCCAAAGGCCGAAGTCGAGGCACATCGCCAGGACATGGCAAAGTCATGCCGTCGGAGCTTCGGGCCCACACTGCCCGCTCGCTTCTGCGAACGCTGCCCCCACGCCCGCCCCAACGCCTCGGGGCCCAACGCCACTGGGGTTAGCGCTCACGGGGTCAGCCACTCCCCTTCAGCTGACCCCGGTTTGGGAGCCACGTGGGGCCGATTCTGATCAGAGTGCTCAATGTAGACATGCAGCAGTGTATCATTAGCATGGGACGGTAGGAAGAGATAGGTAGGTCAGGAATGTATCCATAGCCGTTTGGTTCAGTGAAAGAGGCAAGCAATCTCATTCTGGTTTGCAAATCTCATTCGATTCCCGCTTTTCCGTCCTCCGTCGACCCGGGTTTGTGAGTTACTGAGCGGTCGGCCGGGCTTCGCGGCAGAGCCCTGGCCGACCCGGGTTTGTGCTGACCCGGGAAAGGGAAAGCCATTCTAGGCCTCTCAGACGGGGTCCGAGTGGATGTGGTCGGAGGATCGCGCCGCATCGCCGGCGCATTGCCGATGCATCGCCGATACGTCGCCGATGCATCGTCGATGCCTTGGCAGCGTTCGCGATGCATCGGCGACGTCGGCGTTGAGGAAATCGGGCTCCACATCGAGCCGCATCGCCGATGCATCGGCGATGCGGCTTGATCCTCCGGCCCCATCTGCTCGGACCCCATCTCGGAGGCCTCCAGCCATGCCTTCGGAGATTCGGGTCCACACCGCCAGCTCGTCCTTCGGCGAACGCTGCCCTGACGCCCGTCCTGGCGCCGCGCCGCCGTGGCCCGGCCCGACCCCCGCCCCGCGGAGGCTCCAAGCCCCCGCAGCGCGCGTCCGTGATCGTGGACACCGGCAGCCGCCTCGTCGGCTTCCCGTGCAGAGGCCGTGGCCGCTCCCTTGCAGCCGCTCCCTCTGCCCGTCCTCCTGGGGGTACAGCAAGTTGCAGAAGCTTCCGCTCGTCTGGGACCAAATGTGCGTCGGCAATCGGCGAGCAGCGCCCCAGAGCTTTCCACAGCGCCCCACAGCAATAGAAAATGCGCAGGAGCAAGAGCGCTCAAATGGCGCCCAACAGCGACCAAAAGCGCCCAACAGCGCCATGCGCACGATTGGGCGCTCTGTTGGGCGCCATAGGGACGATGAAAAGCTTCAGTGAGTCGCTGTCTGCGGTACGTGGAGGGGGATTTCGCACGAGCCCAGCTTCAGGCTGGTATTTCCCTCCTCCATGGGCGGTACAATAGATTTTTCCTCCAACCCCAACTCTAGCCCTACCCCACCCTTGCTACGCCCCCCCCCCCCCAGTCCTCTCGCCCTGAGGCGAATGAATCCTGAGGAAACACTGGTCTTCGGGAAGATGCCTCAGCGGCATTTCCCCGAGGACCCTCGGGAGCCCAGGGCTCGTCGCCGCTGGGCAGAAGCTTGGCGCAGGTCTTGGGACGCGAAGGAACGCATAGGCCGAAAGAGCACATCGGCGCCTGCGGCGGAACGGGAGACACCAGCAGACGCAGCCGTCGAGGCTAAATTTGGTGGTACCCAACCATCATGTGGTGTTGGGTCCTCGTTTTCAAGAGACAGCGCCCCGCGTCCACTCGCTCTACACTCACTCCTCCTCCCCTCCTCCCTCCTCGGCACATTCCTCACACGTTTCGTGGCCCCATAGTGAGATCCACCGAAGGCCCCAGTGGCAGGGCTTGCATGCGTCCCCCCGCCCATTTCGGCACACCCGTCACGAGGATCGCGGCCCCATAGGGGGGAGCTCCACCGATGGCCCAAGTGGCAGGGTTCGCATGCGTCCCCCCTGCCCGTTTCGGCACGAGGATCGTGGCCCCATAGGGAGCTCCAGGCCCCTCTGGCAGGATCCGCATGCGCCCCCCGCCTATTCCGGCACAACTGGCACGATAATTGTGGCCGCATTGGAAGCTCCACCGAAGGCCCCTGTGGCAGATTTTCGCATGCGTCCTTCCGCCCATTTCGGCACACCCGTCACGAGGATCGTGGCCCCATGGGGAGCTCCACCGAAGGCCCCAGTGGCAGGGTCCCCTTGCGTCCCCCCGCCAATCTTGGCACCCGTCACGAGGATCGTGGCCCCATATGGGGGGAGCTCCACCGATGGCCCAAGTGGCAGGGTACGCATGCGTCGCCCCGCCCATTTCGGCACACCCGTCACGAGGATCGTTGCCCCATATGGAGCTTCACCGAAGGCCCCAGCGGCATGGTCCGCATGCGTGCCCCGCCTATTTCGGCGCACCCCTCACGAGTGTCGTGGCCCCATAGGGAGCCCCACCGCAAGCGGTACCCACAACGCGGTACTCACAATTGCATCTGTTTGGGCCCTTCGCCAGGATTTGTTTCCCAACCATCCTGTGGTGTTGGGTCCTCGTTTTGAAGAGACAGCGCCCCGCGTCCCTCTCCTTTCCTCTCCTCTACTCTCCTCTTCTCTCCTTTTCCTCCTCCGCCTCCCGCTCCTCCTTCCTCCCATCCGTGCCTTTGCCCTCCGCACCAGTCAACAAGTTCGGCACACCCCTCACACGTTTCGTCGCCCCATAGGGAGCTCCACCGAAGGTCCCAGTGGCGCGCCTGCATTCGTCATCGCCACTCATTTCGACACGCCCCTTACAGGGTTCGTGGCCCTATAGGGAGCTCCACCCAAGGCCCAGAGGGTGCCGCCTGCATGCATCCCCGCCGCGCATTTCGGCACACCCCTCATACGCCTCGTTGCCTCACAGGGAGCTCCACTCAAAGCCCAAATGGTGCCGTCCGCCTGTGTCCCCGCCGCCCATGTCGGCACACCCCTCACACGTTCCGTGGCCCCATGGGGAGTTCCACCCAAGGCTCAAATGGTGCAGCCCGCATGCGTCCCCGCCACGGATTCCGGCACACCCCTCACACGTTTCGTGGCCCCATGATGAGCTCCACCCAAGGACCGAATGGTGCCGCCCGCGTGCGTCCCCGCCACCCACTTCGGCACAGCCCTGGCACGCTTCGTGGCTACATAGGGCGCTCAACCCAAGGCCCAAATGGTGCCGCCCTCATGCGCCCCCGCCACCGATTTCGGCAGACCCCTCACGCTTCGTGGCCCCACAGGCAGCTCCACCCAAGGCCCATATGGACCATATGTTACCGTCCGCATGCGTCACCGCCATTCACGTCGGCACACCCCTCACACGTTTCATCGCTCGATAGGGAGCTCCTCAATGCTGCCGTCCCCATGCGTCCCCGCCACTCATTTCGGCACACCCCCACACGTTTCGTGGCCCCACAGGGAGCTCCACCCAAGGCCCACATGGTGTCGTCTGCATGTGTCCCCGCCGCGCATTTCGGCACACCCCTCGCACGTTTCGTGGCCCCTATCAATGGTTCCGTCCGCACGCGTCCCCGCCACTCATGTCGCCACGCCCCTCGCACGTTTCGTGGCCCCATAGGGGGCTCCGCCCAAGGCGCCAATGCGCCGTTCGCATGCGTCGCCGCCGCCCATTTCGGCACACCCATCGCCCGAGGCCCAAACGGTGCCGCCCGCATGCGTCCCCGCGACCCACGTCGGCACAACCGTCGCACGTTTCGCGGCCCCACAATGAGCTTCACCGACAGCTTAAGCGGCACCCTCCGCATGCGTCCCCTCCATCCATTACGGCACACCCCTTGCACGTCTAGTGCCCCTGGGGGTAGCTCCACCGAAGGTTCTAGTGGCGACGTGTGCATGTGGTTCACCCATTTCGGCACACGGTGCATGGCCCCAATGGAACTCCACCCAATGTTCCAGTGCCACCGTTCACATGCGTCTTCCCCACCCATTCCTTCACATGTTTCCCACGTTTCGTGGCGCCACAGGCAGCAGCTCCACCCAAGGCCTCATGAGGAGATCCATTGAAGGCGACATTCGCAACGACGGTATTCACAACTGTATATGGTTGGGTCCTTCGCCTGGATCTTTTCCACGCTTTCGGGCTTCTGCGGCCCTCCATGCGCCTCAGGACCGCCAGAAAACGATTCAGGATGAATAGCAGGTCCCGGGAAAACATGGGGTCCAGGAACCGTTTCCCTCAGGACCCGTTTCCCTCAGGACCCGTTTCTTTTATGTCGAGTCCTTCCAACTTTTCTCCTTGCTCCTACCTCCGTCCTCCGTTGAATCGCGTCGCGCTGGAGGGATCTTGTGCGAGTAGCGTTGGCAACGTCCAAGCGGCTATGCGCACGCCAGCACTCCTTCGGCCTGTCCATGTCGCTCCTTCGGTTCGTCCTCCCAGCCTTCGTCCCATTCCTCCCTCTGGGTCTCTCTCATTTCCTCCCCTTTCGCTTTTTGAATTCGGCATCTCGGCGTTGAAGGCATCTCGTGCGACGTTAAAAGGTCCTGGCTAGCCGTATAGCGTCACTGCGACAGTGGCGCAGCGTTGGTTGATGTTGCGTGGGGAATGGGAAATTGTCGTTCCTCCCTCGTCTTTCCCGCATCCCTTTCCTCTCTTACGCCTAAGCCAACGCATTGGCCAGCACACAAGATAATTGAGCGGCACGGTAACCCGACGGCGGACACAACGCACGCCGACATACACACCCATCTCCGTCTCCTTACTTGTTGTATCCTCAGCTCAACTGCAGTAAGCGGTCCTGAGGTTTTTTTTTCTGGCAAGGTTTGGGAGCAGGACAGGGCGGTATACTCGCTGAGGGCGCTTTGCCCAAATTGCTGAGTGCAGCGGCTGCCGCGCTGTCGGCCCAGACGCAGCCCCTGAGCGTCGAGGAGTTAATGTGACAGCTCGGCCTCCCAAGGGTCGATGTGGGAGCGACAGAGGGCGCCGTCATCAGTGGAGGACAGAGGAGGATGCCCACACCCCGCATCCCTGTCAGAGGCCAGCAACATATGTACACGTACGCGGTGAGCTTCCCCTGGAGGGCGTTTGAACGAGGACGTTCGTGCACTCAAGATCGCGGAGGGCGTACATGTACATATGTCGTTGCTCGCTCACCCTGTTCCACTTGTCTTCTCTGTCGCGCGGTGCGCGTCCCTGGGTGATCCGAGGCCGGGCATTTTCGTGTCGGCCTTCTCCTCTCCCCTCTCCTCCCTCTCCTGAGTCGTCCCTCCGCCCCCCTGCCCTTCCGCGTCAGGGTCGTGCTTCCGCCCCGGGGGGGGGGGCAGGGCGATTGGGGTCCTGCGGCAGGACGGCCTGCCGATTCCCCACTTCCCCATTCTGCTTTCGGAGAAACCTGGCAGCGGCTCGTGCACTGGTGTGTTTACAGCAGGCACCGTGGAGGACAGAGGTCCCGTCTTCGCTCGCCGCCTCTCCTCTTCCGCCGCCGTGCCGGGCACCAGCAGCGTCGAGGCTGCATGCACTGTGGGGACCACCTGGACCCGGCCTACGACGTGTCCAGGTCAGAGACCGCCAGGCCGTGCCCGGGGTTGGCTCGGGTCGATCTTGCCGGGGGTGTCTCGGCCTTTCGGGGGAAGAGGAGGCGGAGGAGGAGGAAGAGGAGGAGGAGGAGGAGGAGGAGGAGGAGGAGGAGGAGGAGGAGGAGGAGGAGGAGGAGGAGGAGGAACAGGAGGAGGAGGACCAGTGCAAACCCAAAAAGCATCGACGATGCTGAAATCAACCTTTCCTCCGAGGCCCCTCTTCGTAGGTCCCTACTGGAATTGATTGCGAAGGCCTTACGGCTGGTGCCGCCGACCCTGAATGGGGACGACGACGATGATGACGACAACGTGGACGACGGCGACGACGAAACGCGTTCAAGAACTTGAGGTGAATTCTGGATTTTACTCTCTTGGGGTTGACTTGGGAGTGCTCTTGGGGCTCTCTTGGGCCTCTTGGGGTCCTCTTGTGGGCTCCTTGGGCACCTCCTGGGGGCTTCCTGGCGGCCTCGCGGGGCGGACGGCTCTCAATGTCGGTTGGTGTGCCCTCTGGAGAGCCTCTTGGAGCCCTCTTTGTGGCCCTGTTCGGCCGTCTTGGGGCCCTCTTGGGTTGTCCTGGGGCCGTCTTCGGCTGTCTCGGGGCTGCCTGGGGCTGTCTTCAGGCGCTTTCGGCAGCCTCTTGGACCGTTTCAGCACTGTTTTGGTGGCTTCTTGGCTCGTCTTGGAGCGTGGGAAGCCCGGAAAGGCGAGGACATGAAAACATGTAGCAATTAGTCTGGATTTCACAACAGACGGGGGGTGGTATCATTTCTTGAGGGTCTGATTTGGAGCTGTCTTGGAGGGTTCCAGTGTGGTCTGGGCAGAAGGCCGCCCGTTCATGGCTGGTCTGGCGGGGGGTTTCAAGCCGCTCGTCTCGGAGGGTTGCGACCCCCTCCCTTTCATTACGGATTTGTTAGAGTATATGGCAGTCGTTGATTGTCGCCTCCAGGGGCCCTTGGGGCTCTTCTGGGAGTCCTCTGGGGACCTCTTGGGACGTCTTGGGGGCTTATCAGGCCGTCTTGAGGGTATCTTGGAACGTTCTGGAGCGAGCTCGGGCTGTTGCAGGGCCCTATTGGAGCAAACCGCGGTTCAAGTGAGCTCGAGGCGTCTGAGGGGCGAGAATCGAGGTGAAAGTTTCTCCCAGGGAGGGGCGCTTCCCCCCTGGGGGGCCGGGACCTTCCCTGGGCCCTCCCCCCCTACCCCTCCCAGGACCCCTCCCGGGACCTGCCCCCCAGAGCTCCCCCCCGGCGGGGGAAGGGTAAAAGGGAAGGGGCTCCCTTTTGACTCGACAACGACGTTGCTCGATTCTCCCCAGCTGGAACGTTTGAGGCAGAGGGCCCAGGGACAGGGGGGTAGCGGCGACGGCGACGACGACGACTCCAACGAAAAAGCGTCAAGGGAGGTGAGCGGCAACGACGAAGACTCAAACGGAAAAGCCGACAGGGTCGGCGGGTTTTCATTGCGGGAAGTGCCCATTAGAAGGCAACCGGCTCAGAATCCCCAGTCGCACCCAAAAAACATTATTTCGATTTCAACGCAGCGGATCAACGTGTTCGTTGTGTCCGGGCAGTCTTAAATCGCGCCACAACATCAAACCTGGCATTTCAGCACCGCGAGTGATTTTGACTGTTGCGTCCTGATAATTCTGAATTGTGCCAGAACACCATTCCTGGGGTTTAGCCATGCGAATCTTGAAAGCTGCCACAAGCTTTTAAGACGAAAGCGCGCGGCGCTAAGGCGAGAGCCACATTTTGAAAAGGACCCGCCCTTTGACCGTGAATCTGGTGTTAACTTTAAAGAGGAATGTGCGCGGCGCTGAGGCGAGAGCCACCTTTAGAAAACCATTTTTTCCATGCGTGGAACAGTTTCAACTTACCAGATTAATTTGCGCGGTGCTGAGGCGAGAGCCACATTTTGAAAAGGACCAGCATTCCATGCGAGAAGCTGTTGCACATTTCAAGCTTCAGGATCATACCTGGTGAAGTGGTCTCAGGCGGAACGCCTGACCTGCCCTACCGACACGTCTGGGGGTGCGACAGGGAGGAGTTATTTAGAAGGAAAGGGGGTGGAGGAGGAGGAGGCGGAGGAGGCGGAGGAGGAGGAGGAGGAGGAGGAGGAGGAGGAGGGAAAGGGAGGTGGCGGAGAAGGAGGAGGAGGAGGAGAAGGAGGCGGAGGAGGAGAGGAGGAGGAGGAGGAGGAAGAGGAGGAGGAGGAGGAGGAGGAGGTGGTGGAGGAGGAGGAGGTCGAGGGAGAGGGACGGTGCCAGGCAACGCGCGCACGCATCCCGTTCCTTTGTCAGGACTGGTGGGGGACGGGGTCTCCGATGCCCGCACGCGCGGCCCGGGTCCCAGCGCGCCTAGTACTTGCCTCGCCTGCGTTCGATGGGAAGCTTCCCAACGCGGCCCCCCTCGGGGGGGGGAGGCGCCATATGCGCCGCCGCATCGGCGGGGGTCTCGCTCGGCGACTGGTCGGTGGGTGTCCGCAGCGCGCCTGGGGCGGCGCCTCGCTGCGCGGCCGGGCTGGGTGATTGCGCGTCGGCAGGGGTGTCGCTTCGCTGCGGGGGTTGGCGCCTCGCTGCGCGACTGGGCCCGCACACGCCAGCGGGAGTCTCGTGCGGGGAAACCGGGTCGCATCGGCGGGGGTCTCTTTCCGTGACCGGTGGGGCGTCGAGGCAGTGGAGAGCCGAGGCCACCGCGAAATGTGCTTGATATTTTTTTGTATAGGATGCCTCGTGGATCCCCAGGGCCCCCGAGGACCCCCCCGTGGATTCCCCAGGAAATCTTGAGGACCTCGCAGGAATGCCTCAGGATTTTGCTAGGAGATCCTTTATAGGATTCAAGTCCTTGGCCTCAAGAGTCGTTCGGACTGCTGGGGGAACCCTCTGGCCCAGTGAGGACGTTGTCATCACATCATTATGGTTGCAGGAGAAACAGCAAGGATTCCAGAGGATTGCTGAGGAGGGCCCAGGAGCAGGAATCCCAATCGGGGGCCCCACCCGCCGGGCAGGGGGGAGAGGACCTGCTGGGCAGTTTCGCCAGCGAGGCGCTGGAGCCCTCTGTCTTGTGTTCTTTCCGGAGGGCCTCTTTCACAGGCGCTTGAAGGGGCAGCGGAGGCCGAGCAGAGGGTGGTCTACCCCGTCCTGCGCACACGACGAAGGCGGCGCAGCCCGCCTCCTTGCGGCACCTGGTGGCGGGCGAGCTCGGCCTCGCCCGCCCGGTTGTTAGTCTGGCATTCCGCGGAACGCTCCGACTCAGAGCCGCTTGCGCCTGACGTTACGCGGTCGGTTGCGGCGATCGCGCCGGGGAGGGGGAGGATGAGGTAACATCACGGGGCAGGGGATCTGTCTGAGTGGTGGCTTTTTTGCTGGAGCGTGCGGCCTTTTTGGTTTGTCTGTCTGAGTGTTCGTGTTTGCTCAGGTGTCCTGAGGCGTTCCTGAAGATTCTCTCGTGCACTGAGGGCCTCAGAGGTTTCTGGGCTCTCCTTCGGCGAACGGTCCCAGAGGCGGCTGGACGGTGCCTGGGATGCGGTCCTCGCCGCGGCGGGCAAGGTGTAGCGAGCAGCACTGTCTTGGCACGTGCGGGTGAATCCCCCAAGGGCTTGACGTCTCCACGCCAACTCGATCTGCGGGGATAACCAGGCGGCCAGACGCCGATGCCGGCGGGATAAGTTTTGTTTGTTTTGTTGTTTTTCGTTTTTGGGTCCTCCTCCTCCTCCTCCTTCTCCCTGGACTGCAGGCTACATCGGTTGCGGCACTCCCCCGTCAACGGCTGACCGATTCGGTCTTTTCCCGAACCTCCGGTCCGACCCGATCCCCTGAGCTTCTCGAGCCTCCATCCTTGACCCTCGATCCTCGATCCTCCTCGACCCTCGACTCTCGATCCTCGAGCCTCCGTCCTCGACCCTCGATCCTCGACCCTCGACCCTCGACCCTCGACCCTCAATCCTCGACCCTCGACCCTCGATCCTCGACCCTCGACCCTCGACCCTCGACCCTCGATCCTCAATCCTCGACCCTCGACCCTCGATCCTCGACCCTCGACCCTCGACCCTCGACCCTCGATCCTCGACCCTCGACCTTCGACCCTCGATCCTCGACCCTCGATCCTCGGTCCTGGACCCTCGGTCCTCCTCCCTCCGTGCACCTTTGGCCTGGGGCAGGTGGCTCAACTGCAGCTCCAGCTGCAAGGGCACCTGCTTCAAGGACTGCGCTCGGCAGCGGCACACCCTGCGTGCGCTCCTGCTCCGGCTTCCTCCACTCCTTATCATTCCATTCCTCCCGGCCTCCCGTCCTCCCGTCCTCCCTCCCTCCCTCCCTTCATCCTTCCTTCCCTCCATCCCTCCATCCTCTCCGCTTCCTTCTCCCTTCCCCCTTCTTCCCTCTCACTTCTCCTCCTTCCTCCTCGAAAATGTCTCGGCCGTCGCTTCACATGGGGGCGGCACCCGCCTGGCAGTCGCGAGCTGTGACGCGCGCCTTACCAAACCTCCTCGACAATCAATCACTCAGTATGAAAGCTACTCGCCTCTCTCCTCCGAGAGTCGCGCCTCCCTCTCAGCGTATTCTTTTTACACAGGGTGAGATCAGTATTGTTTTCGAATTCCGTGTCTTTCTAATATGAACGTTATCGGTCTTCCAAAAGTGTGCTCCCGCTGCAGCGAGGGCCTCATTTCAGGATCGGGGCTCAGCTCCCGTCTTTCAGAAGGGCGTTCTCCCCCCAGGGCGGGACACTTTTCTGGATCCGAGCCCTTCTCATCGTTGTCGCCCCCCTCCTTTTCACTTGTCCGCTCTCCCCTGGCCCTCCTCCTGCTCCTTCAGCTTCTTACACTCCAGTTCCAGCTGCTGCTGTTCGTCCTCTTCCTCGTTCTCCTCCTTCATCCTCCTCCTTCTCCTCCTCCTCATCCTCCTGCTCCTCCGCCTCCTCCTTCTAGATATGCAGCTCCCCTTTTCCCACTGCGCATAAGGCCATGGGATATGTTTTGGAGTTCCAGGTTCGCTGTGACATGCGTCCGTGGATTTAGAAATCAGCGCAGCGGGAAGGGATGGGTGGGGGGGGGGGGTGGATGTCAGGCATGGCGCGAGTGCACCTAGCTTGTCCCCTCCCCGTTCCCGCTCCTCCCTCCTCCGTCCCCGCCCTCAGTCCATCCTCCTCCTCCTCCTCCTCCTCCTCCTCCTCCTCCTCCCTCCTCCTCCTCCTCCTCCTCCTCCTCCTCCTCCTCCTCCTCCTGCTGCGTCGCTATATTCCCTGCGCGTTCGCTTTGCAGACGTCTGCAGCTCCTGGGCCCGAGCCTCACCCGCGCGGCTGGGGCGCCAGGGAGCCCGCGCCTGCCCCGGCTGAGCGGCGCGGGCGTGTTGTCGCCCTCGCCGCGGCGGTGGCGGTCCTCGCGCAGGAGCCACGCGTGTGCATCCTCGCCTCAGGCGGTGGCCCAGCGCACCCCCAGAGGTGGGGGTTGCACGGGCCCGTCCTTCCCCCCGTCTCCTCCTCCTCCTCCTCCTCCTCCTCCTCCTCCTCCTCCTCCTCCTCCTCCTCCTCCTCTCCCTCTCCTCCCCCCGACTTTCTTTTCCTCCGCCTCCCCCTCTCCTCCTCACTTTTCATATGTCTCGCACGGCGTGTATCCAGACACCCCAGATCCTAGAGGCCATGGCCTCACCCACCTGGTCTGCTCTAGGCCAGGACGCTGTTCGCAGCGGTGGTCGCATCGCATCGCATCGCACCTCCTTCCCCCCGTCAGCCTGGGCTCGTGTGGGGTGCAGCCGGGTCAACGGGTCGGGACTCCTGGGGCCGCGTGCTGAGGAGTGAAGACATCGGACCTCTGGGTCGCTGCACGGGGGCCCGAAGGACAGGCCCAGCACGGGGGCGATCGGGCGCGTAGCCGACGAGCTCTGAGCGGCCGCGGGCAGCCGGCGCGGTTGGCGTGCGCGGCCTTGGAGTGGCCGCTCCTCCTCCGCAGCTCTTCCTCCACGTTACCTCCCCTCCCACGAGTCGTCTGCGTGGGCCTTGACAGGCTCTGGTGTGCCACTTGGTCCCGCAGACGTGCCTAAGCACACCCTGCAGTCGCTAGCAGCCCCGTTTTCTGCCGGGCATCGCGCCAGCTCCACCTCTAATGGACATCCGCTGCCCAAGCATCGCTAGCTTTGTGGAAGTCGATTAATGGAGAGGAAGCATGCTGCCAAATAATTTCCAGATGTCTAGAAAATGTGCTAACACTGTTTTAAACATATAAAAACACGTTTTAGTCAATGTCAGGACATCTTTCCGACATTTAATTCGATGATGATCGCATTGTTAGGGTGTCCATTGTCGTGGCATGCACATCGCTAGCTCGCTCTGCCTCCGCGCTGCCTTTCCCCCGTGGAATCACAAGCTGCACAACACAAACCTTCGAGTGCCCGCGCGGGTGTCTTGGGTCGGCGCTGGCCCCCCTGCCGGCGCCTCCGGCGCCGCCCCGCCCGCGCTCCGCGCCAAGAGGGAGGGTCCAACTCCGACTCCGACCCGAGCTTCTGCTGTGTTTCGTTCCTCTACCTGTCCTACTTCTCCTCCGTGCTGTCCTCCCGCCTCTGGCACAGGTTCCCGCCCCTGGGCCACGGACTCCGCACACGGCGGTCGCGGAGCGCACTGCAGTCCAGGGCTACGGATCCAGTGAGCTCTCCCCCGGGTAACTGCGTAGCGGGGCCGCCTCCAGCCGAGGCCGCAGCCTTCCTCTCGGCTCCCGTGCTCCTCGCGGCCACTGCTCTGGATCCATGAAGCTTCCCTCGAAGAGTGGGATCAGTCATGGGGCCGCCTCTGCGTGCGGCCACTTCCTCGGCTTCCAAGCAGCCTGGTGCCCGCTGGAGCCCTGCGCCCCAGGATGGCAGCGCATGCCCTCCCAGGGCCTCGGCCAGGAGGGCGCATCCACCATGTCGGGGCCCAGACGGCCCTGGTCGGGCCCAGAGATCTGGTCCCCGGAAGCCGCGGCCCTGTCCCCAGGGCCAGGGTTTCGTCCCGAGTCGTTCTCCGACGGTGAGGGCCCCACGAGGCCGAGAAGCGAGCAAGACTTTTGTGCGTTTTTTTCGCTACGTTGGAGGCCTGGGGGCACGGCCATGGTGTGCATCTGCCTCCGGCGTGACCCGAGCGGGGCCGCCACTCCAGGCCCACTGCCCGTACACGGAGACGTACTCGGAGGGCAGCACGATCTCGGGGCTCCTCTGCGGCGCTTCTCGCCTTTTTGGGGGGGCACCGCCGCCCCTTCGGCTGCTCGCCCCAGGGATCGGGAGGATCGAGATGACGACGGACAGGCTTTGAGATCCTGGCGGTGCGCTTTTTGGCACCGGGCTTTTTTGTCCCGTTTCTGGTCCCTGGGACCGCCGCCGAGAAAGAATCAGCAGAAACAGTTCTGGCGTTTCGGGCCCTGGTCGTGATGTTCGTGAGCGTGGTATTTCTTGGCGACGGCGGAGCCCAGGGATCATGAGGACTCACGTGAGGGCGAGTTGGGACAACGGCAGTCGGCCTCCGCTGTGGGCCCTCGTCGCTGCGGCTGGACGCAGCTCGGGAAGCTGACCCGCTTGGATCTCGGGAGAGGCGTGGGGGCCGGTCTTGAGCTGCCGCTGTCCGACTCGGCCTGCCCAGAGGGACGGACATGAGGTTGCGTGCTGGCAGAAGTGTCCCTGACCTTGGGAGCCGTCTGGGCTTGAGGTGGCACAGCACTGGCTCCTGCCAGCAGGTCCGAGGCAAGGCGCTGGGATCGGGAAGGCTTCTGGCCTCCTTCGGCCTCCGGGGGCCGTGTCCAATCGGCGTCGAGCGGGGGGGGGAAATGAGAAGGAGAAGGCCTTCTCAGAAGGCTCGGAAGTCCCACGGCTTCCTGAGAAGTGTTCTAAGCTTCCCCCGAAGACAGAAACGAAACCTGTCAGAAGGCGCGGGGGCTTCTGAGAAGTCCCGCCGCCTTCTGAGAAGGCCTTCTCCTCCTCATTTCCCCCCTTCGCTCGCCGCCGATCCAAGCCCTGGGAGCGTGAAAAGCGGATCCGGGGTGAAGAGCTGCACCGGACGGATCCCCAGGAGGGGTCTGGGGACGGAGTTGGACCGGATTCGGCCTCACCCCCCCCTCCTCACCGATTTTCGGGGGCCCCAGCCGATTCAGGTGGGGGTGGACAGACCTCCTACCCTGACACGTCGATTAGCGAATTGGCCGGTTTCGGTTCGCGAGAAGGCGTCGCGGTCGTCATTTTTGTGGGTCCAGGTCCGTCGGTTTCGGTTCCAGGCCGTTTTCACTAAGGGGAGGTTTGCCCACCGCCGATTCAGATCCCCAGCCGCCTTCAGCCACTGCCCACGGCGTCACTACGATTTCCAAGAAGGCCCCCACGGCATCCGGAGCACCCGTCACGGGGCCCAGGTGGCCGCGGCGCCCGGCACCTGTGCTTCCAGCCGCTTCACCGCGGCCTCTCGGCGGCGCCGTGTTGCCGCCGCTCCCTCTTCCTTGATTCTGCTGCGCCCCTGCTGATCCGTGATCACAGGGCCCATGAAGCTCAAGAGTTTCCGAGACGGCACGACAAGCTGGGGACACCCAGTGCAAGGGACACCTTCGGCAACCTCCAGTGAGGGGGACGAGGGCCAACTGCAGTCCATGTCCATTCTGAACTAATTCCGAGCGTGCCGGGGACAGTGAGACCACCGTTATCGCCATCATCTTTCCTTTTCTCGGGTAGAGTGCTTTTTTGTGTTTCTTATTTTGCTGTTCTATAATGGGGGACCTGGCCCTGGGGCTCGGGGGCCACGACGACAACTACAAAATGGGCCCCCAGGGCCCTGGGACGTCATTTCGGGCCCCACATCCTTCCTGGGCGGCCCTATATTTTTTTGAGGAGATTTTAGGATTTCCCGAGTCTCCCCCAGGCGGCTCCAGAGTCGGCTGGTGGCCCCATAGTGCCGCCAGAGGCTCCAGCAAGACGCCCTGAGATCGCTCTCAAATAGTCATCCGAGCGCGCCTGGACCCAACACACGTAGATTCCCCTGTGGTCTTCACGTGCTTTTAGCATTCTTGCCTTTTCGGGCTCCCGACGCTACAAAGACGGCCCACGAGGCCCCCAAGCTCGCCCCAGGACTGTCCAGCAGGCCCCTCAGAGAACCCCAAGACGGCCCAAGAGCGCCCCAAGATGGCCCAAGAGGCGCCCAAGACACCCTGCATCCTTCCCAGGTGGCCCGAAATTGCTCCTGGAAGACCACAAGACGCCCCTCCCAGGGGACTCAGAGTCGGCTGGTGGTGCCATCTTGCCGCCAGAGGCCTCAAGTGGAACTCTCTCTCTCTCTCTCTCTTCTGTCTGCCCTTTCTTCCTCGTCTCCTCGGAGGGCCAGCAGGAGGAGCAGGGGGAAAGCAGGGGGGAGGATGAGGGGAGGGTCCATCTCGTCCCGATCGATCCGGTTCGATGCCGATTGCGCCCGACCCGATCCGATTCGCCGATGCTCCTCTTACCTCCCGCTCCTGTTCCTCCTTCCTCGTCCCCATTGGGTTTGCACTGCGTGCTTGCGCAGGGCAATGACATTTAGCGGCCATCTCAAGAGCGTCGCGATGGAGTGTAATGATGTCCCCTCAATAATTGGGCATGGGCTTGATAACGCGGTTTAAACGTGAGGCCACCCGAATGAAGTCTTCCAGAGAGCCCTGGCGGAGTCGAATTTAGAAGTCTTTGAACAGTTCTTCTCTTTCCCTGTGCCTTTCGTGGCCCAGGTTCTGGTTCGACGACTTCGTCGAGTTGGGCGACTCGTTACAGAAGAACCCGCCCGTGCGCGCACAGCTGGGCTGCCACACCAATGAGAACAAGTTCCGCCGACGGGCAGGGGTGGCAAGAGGAGGAGGATAGAGGAGGAGGAGGAGGAGGAGGAGGAGGAGGAGGAGGAGGAGGAGGAGGAGGAGGAGGAGGAGGAGGAGGAGGAGGAGGAGGAGGAGGAGGAGAAAGGAGGAGGCGGAGGAGGAGGAGTAGGAGGAAACATGTTCAATACTGCCATACTTGTACATTTCGTACCCGGTTCATCATGACGGGGCCCGCCACCATCGAGAAACCCTCGAGAACTCTCCCTTCGGGAAGCTCAGTTGTTGCCGAAGGGGGATACAGGAGGAGGTCGAGGAAGCAAGGAGGAGGACGTACGCATTGACGGATGTATCAACGTGTGCGCTCACATGCAGCCGCAGTGCACACGATCACGCGGCACCGCCCGTCGGGGGCTCCACAGCGCCACCTGGCGGGCTCCGCATCGCTCGTGGCTGCCCTCCCCCTCGTCGGGGCGGTCGCGGAGGCCAGGGCCACAGGCGAGAATCCCCCCCACGCCACCTGGGGGCCTGCTCGCTCGCCCGAGGCTCAGATCCGCGCGGGGCGCTCTCGGGCCGCGTTTTTATTTTTATTGCTCTGCTCTCCTCAGTTTCTCCGCTCTCTTGCCGGCTCCGTCCTCGGCTCCGTCCTCGGCTCCCTTCTCGCTCCCTTCTCGCTCCCCTCCCCTTGCTCCGCTCTTTTCTCCTCCTCCTCCTCCTCCTCCTCCGCCTTCTCCTCCGCCTTCTCCTCGTCTTCTCCTCTCTCCTCCCTCTGCCTCCCGTCCGCTCCCCTCCTCTGCCTTCCCCTGTCCTCCCCCTCCCTTCTCGCGCCCTCCACTCCTGCCCAGCCCCCCCCGCCCAGGCTCTTCTACTCGCAGCGGGCCAACGGGATCATGGGCTTGGCGCCCTCCGTGGCAGGCGCCTCCCTGTCACCTCCTGTCCCGGTCTCGCCTCCCTCGCTCGTCGTCGTCCTCGTCGTCGTCCTCCTCTTCCCTCCTCCCCCCTTCTCCCTCGTCGTCGTTGTTCCTCCCTGACCTCTTCTTCCTCCACCCTGTCCTCCTCCTGACCCTCCTCGTCCTCCATAAGCTCCTCCTCCTCCCTTCCCCTCATCCGCTCCTCCTGGTCATTCTCGTCCTCCTCCGTGGCGCCCTTCGCCTGCCGCGCCTGCGGTACGAGCTTCCAGACCTCACCTTTCTAATTCATGGTCTGAGGTCATCGCGGAGGGTGCGTAGAGGAAGATGAGGAGGAGGCGGAGGAGGAGGAGGAGGGGAACTAAAGTAAACCCAGGACGTATCAATGATGCTGCAGCACGCCCTCCCATCCCAAGTTCCCCGTGGGCTTGCCACTTAGGCGAGACCCCGTTTGGTGAAGGATCCACCTCCGTCCTTCTTGCTACAAGTAATAGCGGCATTTTGAAAACTACGGGTCCTCCACCCGTGTAATCGTTTGTAACTTTCCAAACGAAAGTCTGCGGCGCTAAAGCTGGAAGCCACCGGCCTTCCATCGCAGTGGTTGTGGGGTTTCTTAGCTGCAGGGTAAATCATTATCTGGAAGTCTAAAGCGAAACGCTCGGCTGGGCCTATGGACACGTCTGTTGATACGACAGCGTGGAAGTGTGTCTAAGAAAAAGGGATGAAGAAGGATGGTCAGGAAACGGCCTTTGTCCTTGAAGCTGGCTGGGTTGGCTAAGTTGGCCCGCCACTAGGTCCAGCCAACAGGCAGAGTCGAGGGGGGACATCTGTGCACATACTTCGCCCAGTCGCCCATCTGGGCGCCTTTTTCTGGGTGGGTGTTGTGTGCCCATCTAGCCTCCGTCTCCCCCCTCTTGACCGAGCTTCCCAGCGCTCATCTACGCAGAGCCCCCAGCTGCTTTCACCCGCCTCCGCCCGTCAATCCGCCGACGCGGCAGTGCCTTCCTCACGTCCGTGAGCAGGCGTGCGCCGTAGGCAGGCCCCACTTATACACATTTGCTATGGGCCTCGCGCGCGTTTGCAGCACAGAGGTTGAATTTTGATGGAGGTCTTTGGCTTCAGACCTCCAATGGGTTTGTCCTGTCCTGTCCTCCTTCCTCATATTCCCTGACATCCGCCGATGTGATGTTTTTCAATTCGCGGCCCAAGAGGTACCGACCGCTTCCCTGGGGGCAGTTTCTCATCCCGTATCTGGTTTTGATGGCCCAGGGCCCGAAAACGGACATTAGAGCTCAAAATCGGAGAAAGCGCTGGGGTTGAAAACAGCATATCGTCAGAGATCTGGGTCCGTCTCGTCCGCAGCCTTTTGAGGCTGTTTCCAGGCAGTCCTGGGGGCCTCCTGGGCCGTCTTGGGGCCCTTTGGGGCAGTCTTTGGTCCCTCACTGCAGTCTTGGGGGCCTCTTGGGGCTGTCCTGGGGTGGTCTGGGGGCCCAGTTGGGCTATCTTGCGGCCCTCTTGGGGAAACGAGAAGCCGAGTATACGAACACGAACTGCACCGGAACCTGAGGAAAGCCCATCATTTTTGCCTCCCAGGGGCCTCTTGGGAGTTGCCTTCTAGCTTCCTTGGGCCATTTTGGGAGCCCGTTGGGCCGTCGAGTGCCCATCTTGGATCATCTTGGGCCCGTCGTGGCCGTCAGGGGGCGCTCGTCTGCCCGGGCTCTGGGCCTCCAGGGTCGTCTTGGGGCCATCTGGGGCCGTCTTGGGCCCTCCTGGGGCGCTCCAGAAAAAGGTTCCCTGGCTTCATAGATAAAACACGCATAGAGCGAGTGGAGGACACCCGATGGGGGCGCCAGGGTGATCGCGATTCGCGCGTCGAGGCCGGGGCCAGAGCGGCTGCCCTTTTCCAAGCGGGCGCCGCGAGGCGCGCGGGCGCGAAGATAACCGCGCGTTGAGCACCGCGGGGCGTGATGCACGAGGTTTGGTGACCTGGACGAGTGGAGGGGGAGAGCGCTTGCCGGCCCAGCGCACCCGCGGGTTCTGCTGGCGGGTGCCTCGGGGGGTCCTGCCGGCGGCTCTCGCGCGACGCGCCCTCCACTCGGGGGGCGTCGACCGACCATCTCACCGATCGAGGGGAGGAGACACGGTGGCCATGACCAAGATGTCGTGGGATCTTATCGACGCCGATCTTGCTCATGGTCCATGCGGGCCGTCGCCGTTGATAAAGACGTTTTTGCGTTCAGTCTTGGTCATGGTCATCGCTTTCCTTTCCTTCACCCGATCCTGGCTTGGCCGCACCTTGGGCCCAGCATCGGTGCATCCGCCTTCCTTGGGATTCGGGCGCGACGTATGTTTTTCTTGTTTCTCGGCCTCTAGAGGCGAATAAAGAATTACTCGATGTGGAGATACCCATTTGCGCATCTCATGTTCTGGCACGTCCCGATGTGAGTGCCTGGCTGTGAGTGTCTGGGTATGAGCGTGAATCCGAGTGGAAGACGGATGCAACGACGACGGCTACGATGAGGGACAACGACGACGACAACTCACAGGGACGGGCGGTGAGCAGGCCCCCCCCCCTCTCCTCGCTCTTCCTCCTTGTTGTAGCCCCTCCCTTCTCTTCCCCTTCCTCACATTTCCCTCCTGCGTTCTTCTCCCTCCTCCGTCCTCCCTCCTCCCTGGCGGCCGTCCTTCTCTGTCCTCCTGCGTGGTCTTCCTTCCTCCTCCTTGTCCTCCCTATTCCTCTGTCCTCACTCCTCCTTTCTCCTCCCTAGAAAATGTTCTTCCTGGCGGCCTTCTGCCCTGTTCTTCCTCTTCCTCCTCGTCTTAGCCCCTCCATTCTCTTCCTCCTTTCTTCCTTCTCCTTCCTGTCGCGTCTTCCTCCGCTCCTCCTCTCTGATCTTGGATTCGAGGTGATCATGGAGCTCTGAATGGACACGAGTCGGAAGTGAAAAGCGAGCGCCTCGCTCGACACGTTCCTACAATCCAGCCACGAGCAGGCGAGTGCAGCCATCCCTGGCGGCTCCCCCTTCGGGTGCCATAACCAGCGTCTCGTTCGAGACATCCTCACAATCTGCTCTGGAGGCCGAGGGGTCCAAGCCACAACAGGCCAACTGCCCGAGACATCCACACAGTCTGGCCGCGAGCGGGCCTGCAGCGGCTCTCCCCCTTGGGGTCTTGAAGCCAGCGCCCCGCTCGAGACATTCGCACGATCTTCTCTGAAAGCCGAGGCGCCTCAGACACCAAACAAGAATTAAGCGAACCGTTCGAGGCGTCTCCACAATCTGGGTCCCTTGAGGTGCTGAAGCTAGCGACTCGCTCAAGACATCCTCACGCTCTGCTCTGAAGGTCGAGGAGTCCAAACCACCACACACCAAAAGGGAAACACACACAGACACAATTAATCGTCCACTCCCAGGGAAATATGGGAAAATATGGGAAGTGGGGGGGGGAAGACAAAAACTTAGAACATATGAGAAAACATGGGGAATCCTGTTATGTGTGTGTATTTATTTGTGTGTCCCATGGCCCCTTCAAAACAAACAAACCGAGTGAGACATCCCCACAATTTGGGCGCGTCTGGGCCGTGCAAACACGCTGGCGGCTCCCCCTCGGAAGTGCTGCAGCCAGCACCTCGCTGGAGACATCCTCACATTCCGCCCTGAACGCAGACGAGCCTAGGCACCCGAGCAGGTAAACCGGCTGAGGCATCCCCGCAAGTTGGGCGCGACCAGGTCCGTGCAAACACCCTGGTGGCTCCTCGTTGGGAGTGTTAAAACCAGCGCCTCGCTCGATATCCCCACAAGCTGCTCTGAAAGCAGACGAGTCTGGGCACCCAAACAGGCCAACCGCCTGCGACGTCCCCATAAACTTGGCGCGAACGGGCCAGTGAAAGCACCCTGGCGGCTCCCTCTTGGGAGTGCTGAAATTAGCGCCTCGCCTGAGATATCCTCGCACTCAGCGAGTATGAGTGAGTGTGAGTGTGGGGGTGAGGGAGTCTGAGTGTGATTAAGTGTGAGTATGAGTGAGTCAGAATTCGAGTGAGTCAGAGTCTGAGTGTGGGCGAGTATGAGTGTGAGTGAGTCGGAGTGTGGGTAGATCAGAGCGTGAGTGAGTCTGAGTATGAATGTGAGTCTGAGTCTGACGCAGTATGAGTTTGGGTGACTCTGAGTTGAGCAAGGCTGAGTGTGAGTGAGTCTGAGTACGAGTAATCAGGTGTGAAGGTGGATTGCCCATCGTAGGGATGTGAGGAAGACGGATGAGACGAGGAGGATGAATAGATGATGAGGTGTGACAGTCGGTGGTTCGGCGGCGTCTAAGTAAGAACTAGAACCCAATCTTAGGATATGGGGATCAACATGTATGGATCACTCTGGATGCACCTCCTTAGAGTGCTCTGACGAATGCCTCGCCTGAGACATTGTTAGGACCTGCTCTGAATATTTTATATATTTTTTTATATATATATATATATATATACATATACGCAACAAACAGGCGAACCACACTGAAACCAGCGCCTCGTCTGCGACATCCTCGCAATTGTTGACGCTTCGCGTATCCCCAGTCTGCCGGGCCGCCTGCTTCGGTCCACAATGAGGGTCATTTTGTCCCTGGCATGTGCACTTGCTACAGCGGCCTACGTGCCACTGCAGCCAATTATCTCGCTCTGTGCCCCAGAACGTTATTCCCGCTCGCTGGATCTGTCCTTCGAGCCGCCGAAAGAAAAAGTATCCCCACCAGTCGGTGCGGTCGGCTGTCGACAGTGACGGCTGGTTTCGCAAATTTACAAATGTACCGCGCCCCGGACGTTGTGACCGCTCCCTGGGCATTTCCTTTGGAGCCGCGACCAGAAAGGATCCCCACCAGTCCGTAGCTTGGCTCAAGCCGCCTCGGCTCGAGCACGCCCTTGGCTCAGGTGCGCGCCCCGGCCCGTGGCATGGAGGCCGCCGTGACGACGCGGCGGCGGCGGCGGCGTGCAGCGGCCGCCTGCGCCGCCGGCGCAGCGGATGTTGCTGGCGCCGCTGGCGCCGCGGGCACCGTGGGCGCTGCTGGCGCCGCTGGCGCCGCGGGCGCCGCGGGCGCCGTGGGCGCTGCGGGCGCCGCTGGCGCCGCGGGCGCCGCTGGCGCCGCTGGCGCCGCGGGCGCCGCGGGCGCCGGGGCGCACCGGGTGCCGCGGGCGCCGCGGGCGCCGCGGGCGCCGCGGGTGCCGCTGGCGCCGCTGGCGTCGCAGGCGCCGCTGGCGCCGCTGGCGCGCGGGCGCCGCCGGCGCCGCGGCGCCGCGGCACCGCGGGCGCTCCAGCCCCGCGGCCAGCCACGCGGCCCGCCCCACGGCCCCACCACCAGCCCCGTGGCCTGCCACGCGGCCAGCCACGCGCCCCCACCACCAGCCCACGGCCAGCCACGCGGCCCGCCGCACGGCGCCGCGGACAGCCCCACCGCCAGCCCACGGCCCTGCCCCGCGGCCCGCCCCGCGGCTCGCCCCACGGTGCCGCCAGCGCCGCGGGCGCCGTGCGCGCCGCTGGCGCCGCCGCCGCCGGCGACCGCGGGCGCCGCGGGCGCTGCCGGCGCCGCGGGCGCCGCTGTGCCGCGCCGCCGGCGCGCGCGGGCGCCGCTGGCGCCGCGGGCGCCGCTGGAGCCGCGGGCGCCGGCGGCGCCGCGGTGGCCGCCGCGCCGCGGGCGCCGCGGCCACCGCTGGCGCCGCCTGCGCCGCTGGCGCTGCCGCCGAGGCCGCCCAGGGCGCGCCGGCATGCTGGCGCCGTGGGCGCCGCCGCGGCCTGCGCCGCCGCGGCCGTCCCCACGGCCGCCGGCGGCGCGGCCGCTGGCGCAGCAGCTGCTGCGGCCGCCGCCGCGGCCCTCGCCGACCCCCCGCGGCGGCAGCTGCAGCCGCAGCAACAACAGCAGCAGCGGCAGCCGCAGCAGCAGGGCTACAGCAGCTGCAGCAGCATCAGCCGCAGCAGCAGCACAGCAGCAGCCACAGCAGCAGGACAGGACCGAGCCTCAATCGTTCGAGTAGGAGATCGCCCGACAGCTGCAGCAGCAGCAGCAGCAACAGCGGCGAAGGGCCACCCGTACAACCAGGTGCTCACCCCCAGGAGGCACGTCCAGCGCTGCCACACTCCAGCTCAGACCTTATCGGCGAGGTTCTGCCACCCCCCCATCGATGACAGATGATCATTTCCCAGAGCAGAATCGAGAGGCGGTTGCGGGGGGGAACCCTAGAGAGGGCCATGAGGAGGCTAATCAGCCCACAGATGCGGATTGCGCTGTCTACCCACCACGGTGACAGGCGCCTGGACCGCTCCACGCAGTGGCGGGTCTCTCCCCGAGAGGCCGCCAGATGACGAGGGAAGTGGCGACCTTACTCATGTGACCCGCAGGCCCCCTCGCATCCCCGTTCTGGCTGCCAAGGGCTTTTCATCGCCTTCCCCCCGTGCTCGCCGCGTCTTGGCCGCCCCCGGGCACTGGTCTGGGACTGCAGTGTGGGCGGTCTGCGTGTCCCGCGGTTTCTCCTGTGGCTTGCATATCTTGGCGCTGGGCTCCCTGGGGGGCTGCCGCTGGTCCTGGGTCCGCCCTCTGTGGCTCTGGTACTCCTGCATCCCGATTCGGTCGGTCTTCGGTGGCGGTGGCACCACCCACTCCTTCGTCGTCCACTTGTGCCGGCGCGCTGCCGGGACGTGGGATGCTCTGTGGGTGCCACCGTCGTCCGTGGCAGCGCTGTTTTCTGGGGGCTCTCTTTTCACGGCGAGGTGCCCCCCCCGGGAGGCACGTCCAACGCTGCCACGCTCCTGCCAGACCGTATCGGCGAGGTCCTGCCACCCCCCCCATCGGTGACAGATGATGACGTCCCAGAGGGGAAACGAGAGGCGGTAGTGGGTGGGAACCCTAGAGAGGGCCATGATGAGGCTAATCAGCCCACAGATGCGGATAGCGCTGTCCACCCACCATGGTGACAGGCGCCTGTGCCGCCCCACGCAGTGGCGGGTCTCTCCCCCGAGAGACCGCCAGATGACGAGGGAAGTGGCGACCTTACACATGCGATTGCGGCTGTTGGCTGCCCCCCCCCTCCTCCTGTGTCCATGCAATCGTGACGGCGGCTTTTGGCTGCGCCTCCCCTCCTCCTCCTCCTTCTCCTTGCCGTCGCACAGAGGCGCCCGTGCTCCCTCTGTAGCTTCTGCAGGGCATTTAAAAGGATTGGGAGGTCTCGGCGGAGTCGCTGGAGGCCGCGGAGGCCGCGGAGTTTCGGGGGCCCGGAGCGACGGGGCCCTCGGATGGTGCGGAGGTGGCACAAGCCTTCACATGCGTCTCTGGATTAGAACCGGGTGGACTGGGGGTGGCCCCCGAAAGCCCCCCCCCCGGATCCAAATTTGGCGCAGACCCCCCGCAGACAGCAGGCCCCTCCCGCAGTCGGGGCAGAGCAGGGGCTGGCCCCAGCGGCGCCCACCATGGCTCGCTGCCCAGCGGAAGACGGCGCCAGCGCGGAGGGAGATGGGGCGAGGCAACAGTCCCCCAGAGGTGCCCACGACCCGCCCCTGCAGAGGCCGGCTGAGACAGGGGGGACTGGCGGGCCAGACGTGTGCGAAAGGGGCACGGGGGCGGACGCTCAGGGGCGAGAGAGTCCTGACCAACCCTCCCCCAGACCCACCCTGGTCCCCATCTCGATCCCCGTTTCGCCCGCGCCTCCCTCCCCCCCCCGGCGTGGGGCAGCCCAGGTGTCCGAGACACCAGCAGCAAGTGCCGCAGCCCGACTGCAGCAGCTGCAGCAGCAACAGCCGGCAGCAGCAGCAGCCGCAGCAACAGGCTCGAGTTCAGATTGTTTCGGCGCGGTTCTGCCACCCCCCCATCGATGACAGATGATGACGTCCCAGAGGGGAATCGAGAGGCGGTTGTGGGTGGGAACCCTAGAGAGGGCCATGAGGGGGCCAATTCGCCCACAGATGCGGATGGCGCTGTCCGCCCACCATGGTGACAGGCGCCTGTGCCGCCCCACGCAGTGGCG